AACCGGATCCGGTTTCGGTATTCTAAAAACTAAACAACCGGCTCTCTTCTCTGATTGGCTAATTTTGTCACTATTTCATTTTTTATTATTTTTGGCAAATTTTATTTTTATTTTACTTTTTAGAATTAGGTATAGGGTTAGGATTATGGTTAGGGTTTGGGTTAGGGTTAGGGTCTATAGCTCTGACTTTTAAGTTGGTTTCAGTGGCTCAACGGTAGAGCTTTCGCTTCGTGATGGTAAGGTACCGTGTTCGAACCCCATAAGATGTTTTTATTTTTCTCTGCTTTCTGTATTTCTTTGTATTTTATTTGTTTCTGCATTTATTTGTTCCGTATTCATTTATTTGTTCTGTAACTTTTGTTTATGTTCGGAATTAAATATATTTCTTTATGTTTTTTCATTAAAAATTGTCTTATTATATATTTGTTCTGTTATGTTCGGAAACTGACCAATCAGAGAAGAGAGCCGGTTGTTTAGTTTTCAGGCCTCCGAAACCGTGTCCGGTCGTTTAGACACTACCATGAGTTTACCATCCGAGATATTTTGAAAAGTGAAGAGGCTTTTTTCATTTTTCATTTTTCATTATTCATTTAATATTTGTAGTTAACCCATTGTTCACGTTTTTCGGGATCGAGCTGTAAGTCGATGTACTCAGGATACGTCAGCATGCTTTTGCTCCCTAAACCAAAACCAAACCCAAGGTCTCAAAGAGCCAGAGGGGGATCAGGACCCAATGAAGGATGTAAATAGGCCCTATAGCGTTTTTGTATTGGTAATGTATGTTTTAATCGCTCTGAATGGACAACTTGGGTTTTAATGATTTAAAAATGAAAATAATGAAATACTTTTGATATAATGAATATTTTCGTCGGTGGCTCTGACGGCATGCGGGCGGTGGATGGTAAACTCATACCTCAATTTTCATGGCTTTAGGGTTAGGGTTAGGGTTGGTATTAGGGTTAGGATTAGAGTTAGGGTTAGGGTTTTTGCATCATTCCTTGATAAACGGAAAGTCTGATGCGGAAGTTGATATGCGTAGTATCATGCGTTGCATGTCGTAAGAATAGTCCATAAATATTTGTTACGACTGGTCATAAGAATAGCCACGGCCTTATAAATATCCTTGAATCCTTGAACTGAGCTCCGCAGAGCTGTAGTGTTTTCCCGGTATGGCAGTCACTTAGTACGTTAATGTCACACTATGTAAGTGTCTCACGGTATAACGGGTTATTCCTTCACTCCGCCAATGTGCCGTTGTCTGTACTGTAGGCTAAATTACAGTTATTAAGACATTTCACTGCAACCATAGGTACTGACTACTGTAGACATATTTGTAATTTGTACCATGGCATGTCGTGCCATCACGTGCCTTTGAATTGTACTTTAAGCCTGGGTTTATATATTTCAGAAACGGGACTGCGTGAGATCGGTAACTTGAATGACTTGCACGGTGCATCACAACATCAATGGTCTGAGGTCATCAAGTTCAGCAGAGATTAGATGCTTAGTCATGCTGCAAAAACCTAAATGCAGACAGTTCTATTCCAAAACGAAGCTGCCCTGAAGATTAAAAGCTGAAAGAAAAAACCACTTGATCTGTTAATAGTAATATACTGACCATGGAGGATAATGCTGATAAGCTGGAATTATCAGTTCCACATATTGGTCAGTGTAACAGCTGGGACTGTGGCCTTGCATGTGCAAGAATGGTTCTGTGGTATGTTCTACGTAGTTCTTATTAAGAAATTTAAACATTTCAATTAACTATCATGAGTGATTCGTGGGTTAATATTTGTTCAACATACATCTTTCAAAATGCCTATGTAACGACTACAGGAATGTAAAATTTTGAAATTAAATATGTTGTTGTTGCAGATTTGATATAGAAGAAAAGCAGTTATCGTAAACACTTGTACTAGTGATCTATAAAAATCAATACATAATTATTTGTCATAATTGGTTCAGGTACTGCCTCCCAAATGGTAACCTTTCTGACTTTGAATACCAGTGCAATGCTGTTGGATTCTATCAAAGGTATGTATATTTACTTTAGTGTTAAAGCAAACATCTTAGTTCTATAGATGTATATGGTAGTTAATCAAATAAGTTTACAAATGCACTTAGACCTCTAAAAATATTTACATTGCATGTGGATAATTTTTTAAATGTGTTTAACAATTTGTTTTTGTGCTGATATTCCAGCATTTGGACTGTTGATTTGGCATACCTTATGCGGCGATATGGTCTCAGGCATAGCATGCATACACTGACCATTGGCGTTGACTCCGGATTTTCCAAAGTTGTAAGAGTGTTTTTTATAATTTCGATGTCACACATTAGTTTAGAACGAAAGTATTTACTATTTGTGTTGTGAGTGTTTAGAATAGAAGGCAGGTGCTACCAGGCATAAATACATTCCAGATGTTTTACCCAATAGAGTGGTTTTTCAGATGGTTGAGGTAATATAGTTTGAGCCACATGATTATTGCTAATAATTGAGTAATGGGATATGTCTCATTTCACCCTAAACTTTACATGTAAATGCAATGTAAAAATAATGCATAAATCCTGTATTTCTGTCATGTTTCCTGTAGCGGTTTTATAGTTCTTCAATACAAGAAGATGAAGCGCGAGTGACAACGTTGTTTGCCAGGGCAGCACAAAATGGAGTCTTTGTTGAGAAAAGGTAAGAGCATGTATAAAGATAAAATTATCCGGTAAATGTAATGAAATAGTTGAAAAATAAAATGCTACCCGGTCACTGTAATGATGTATCCTATTAATGAAATGACATTCTGTTAATAAAGTGATATATCCTGTGGGTTTCTCTGTAGGGAAGTGCCGTTGGAAGAGGTTTTGTACCAGCTGAGCATGGGCAATCCGGCAATAGTTCTTGTGAATGCGAGACTGCTCCGCTGTGTTTGGTGTAACAAGGTGTGTTTAGCGTCTGTACTGCACGTGCTAATGGATAATTCTTGTTGCTACTGACTGTGAAACAAGACACGCGAGTTGTACTCGGTTGCAGCAGCTCTACAGTGGTGTACGCATGGTGTAGTGGCGTCATCTATGAACACCTACCAAAACGAAATTTTGTTCTGCTTGCAGTGTACGTACTGTTTCATGCACTACTGTATGCGAAATTCCTATGATGGTCACTTCATAGTGGTGTGTGGGTACAACAAGGCAGAAAGGTTACTCCTCTACAAAAACCCAGCTACCAGAGATGGCAAGTAAAACAGAATGTCGTAGTGTTGTTAATTAACTATATGGACGGTGCTTTCAACTTCGTGGACGGACTTTGCGTGTGTCAATGTCGTCGTCTGTATCACCTCAGATTTGGCACTTTAGATGTTTATTGGAATGGAAGGTTATTGCCAAATTTTGTTCATCGAGCTGCTGATTAATTTGCAATTAATTTGGGCAATTTGAGGCAGAATGTTATATTGGTAATTTAGACATGTTGCTTTACATTGTAAGGAAAAGTAAGTGTTAGTTCAGTGACAATTCACTCATATATAGTGATAAACTACCAAGAATACATGCAACAATAGAATTGTCCTTAAAATACCCTATTTACTCATAGTGCCAGCAGAGAACATGGAAAATGCAAAGTTGGTGAAATCCGCCTCATGCATATATTTGTTATCAGATGTCACCAGCAGAAAAAGGTACTATAATGAGTACACTTTAATTATGTTGCAGGACTGTGTGCTATGACCTACGACTCATTTGAGGAAGCTCGACATAGCTATGGAACGGACGAGGATATACTGTTTGTACACAAACCTCTGAGTTAGCAGGAGGGAACGGCAGGTTCATGAATTGAAATTATTTCTGTTTATAGTATTTATATGGTCATTGTCCATAGTAATCATTGTTTAATGATCAATATATTAATTAACGTATTGCAATAATCATTTTAATGTTGTTTATGTGTCTATAATAGGCAACGGCAGTAATTAGGTTTTCAAGTAGATGGAAATAAATCATCTGACGGAATCACGATTTTATTTCATTTCTGCTGTGTCCACTTGTGGCAAATTATTAACACCTCAACAACTCCCCTTAATATAGCTTGACTACTAGGTTACGCTCTTCACAAATTATAATACCATTATTATCTATATAAACTTTTTTAATATACTACATAACAACATTAATACCATTGAGCGACTACCATAGGTGCCTCCAGATCTGTGGGAAGTAAAGGACCAAGCATGTAATGCAGCTGGCTTCTAAGGCAGTTCATAGTTAACTGTAAGTCTGTGTGTCCAAGAGCAATATTAAGGTAAAAAGCAAATGGCATATTTTCACTTTACAACAGGCCAAACTGGTTGTTGATATGTTGCTAATGATAACAGCATTATAACCTTCTAAAATCATATTGATTACTCTATATGCAAGGTACAACTTAAAACTGCTCCTGACCCAGAATATATGTCTGTCGTACATATTACAGTTATCTTCCTACGGTGCTGAATGTATTAAAAATAAGGTTCACGCGAAATCATGGAAGCACTCGGGCAATTGTAAAGACTACCCGGCATTATTATCTATCACAAAAACGGACGGTGCCTTCACTTCTTCCTGTCAGTTTAAAAAGTAGACAAGGTACCATGATTAGTGATACTGCATATTATGCTTCCAAATCTCTCGGAAATCACATTTGATCGTGTTTTATATCACTTTCCTAATAGCAACATCTTGCAGTGATGTTTAATACAGATAATTTATCTCAACATATAAGTCAACTTATTAGAACCCAGCACAATATGAAGATCCACACATTTTGTGTAAATCTACCAACAGAGTGTGACGCAAAATCAAGTTCTATACATCTATTACAAGTTATTATACGAAATAACGATTATTGTTTATCTGTCTATTATGATTGGTCATAAATCCATAATCTCCAAATAATGATGTCTACTCTGGATAGACAATTACGAAGTCATAATTGTGCAGACGTTACTCCTTGTCAGACAAGTTGACAGTCAGACAGCTTATCACTCCTTGACAATTGGTGGCTTGTAGTCTGGCTTAATGGCCTCAGTCAGCGACTCTGCATAAAGATTCAGTCTCTGGGTCATCTACAATGGAAACAGAAGAACGGCATGTCATGTACATCTTTCCAAGAATACAATTTTTCCAGTAAATATATATAGGGATATTATAAGATGTGCATAGTTTAGATGCAAGGTTTAGCCAAGTTATGTATATGAAATAGACCATTTTTAATTAATAAAATTTATAAACACACAGGTTGCCAATTAATCACATATTTTCACATTCACAATGTACCCTTAATAACCCTATGCGTAACTCAAAACATTTCACCACGACATCTCTGCCTAAATGCAGCCGTTGTAATAGCTGTCGTTTCGCTCGAGACACAGATTTACTTCACTTCACACAGATTTTTCGTGTTAAACCACCGACCACGTCAGTCCTACGTCCCACACGTGAGGGTAAGCGCGTATTAACCCGGGCACGACTGTGTGGGGATGCCACGGTGGCCACTCACCCTGAAACCCCAGCCATCCTTCATCTGTCTGCACAGGTTCAGATCTAGTTCCGTGACCAGAAGTCCGTCACGGGTGCGGGACAGACCCTGCGAGAGAGCAACGAAGGCGCAATTGGTGAGCGCAACGACAATAGAACAGCACTCTACTCCATAATACAACCACCACCACAATCTTACTACTCTACTAGCATAATTATTATTATCCGCTCTTACTACCATAGTTATCTATTTATTATAATCAAATAATCTACATGATGACATTCCTGATGAAATCGGGGTGTAGTCGTAGAGTCGCTGTCGTGTTTCCATTTACGAAATCAGTTTTAGGTTGAATACGAATGCGAGCTTATTCTGAATATTCGATTTGAGATGAAACTTACCGGCGTGCGACTGGCATCAGGTGCTGCTACGTAAGTGGAACCTGCGAGACGGAGAGAGAGAGGGAAGACTTTGTTAAATTATGTCAGTCTTGGAAATATACCTGAAAACCCAGCCAGTCCTGATTTCATAAATTTTGATTTCTGCTCTATATTGTATAGTAAACACCATAAAAATAGGCCAGTCCTGTGCTCAACAGTTCCAAGTTTCGGACTGGGGGACGGGCTGATATTTCCACCACTGATTATATACACATGTAAAACTAATATGAGATTGTAATCATATTGAATCTTGATGAGCTTGCTGCAAGCATGTGACGGCACGTTTTTATGGTATCAGGACAAATATCCCCCGAACAATCACCCCCGGACAATTACCCTCGGACTTTTACCCCCCGGACAATCACCCCCCGGACATTTAGAGGAGGAGTTAGAGAACAATGGAGAAGGTAGTGGAGGAGGAGTAGGAGGGGGATAGGAGGTGGAGGAGTAGGAGGGGGAGAGGAGGTGGAGGAGTAGGAGGGGGAGAGGAGGTGGAGGAGTAGGAGGGGGAGAGGAGGTAGAGGAGGTGCAGGTGGTGGTTGATGGAGGAGGAAGAGGAGGAAGGGAGAATGTGATGGAGGAGGAGGAGGTAGAGGTGCCCTCCTCCACCTTCTCCCATCCTCCCCCTCCTTCTCCACCACCTTCTACCCACGTTCTCCCCCTCCTCCTCCTCCGCCATGGCATGAGGGGTAATTGTCCGGGGGTATTTGTCCTAGCACCGTTTTTATATGTGCATGCATCGCGTGTGTTGTTAGAGCGTGTGTGAGAGAGGTTATGTGTTTTATCCATGTGTGTACACACAGAGAAAAGATATATGTGTCTTTGGTCGTAGGTGATGTAGCATTGAATTGTCGGGTGTAATGCTGAGTTACCATAGAAATGTCCAAAGTCTTTGTGAGCAGGTTTCCCATCCCCAGATGAAAATTCATTAGGAAAATGTTCTGTTCCCACTCGGTTTATGGCACAGGTAAAGTAGCTGTTGGCGATGGCAGCGTTTCTAGCCTCAATTCCCCACATTGGCTCGCTAAAAAAACCAGATTGTAGTTGAAAAGCAGTGAAACAGCAGTGTTAACCATTAGATTCACGTGGCACCATCTATCAGCAAAATAACTTAATAAATACACTACTAGTCACACATTACAAACATACGTTCACATAATATATAAGTGAAAATGCTTTATGGTATGCATTAACAATTTAATAGTATGTGCCAGCGACAACTCATTGTATGGAGATCCTACCTGAGTGTACCCACTGTAGCAGATGGGTTGAACACTAGTTCAGCTCCATTGACACCATACATCATCCAGTTTTGTGGGTGATGGCGGCCATAGCAGATGTTGACTGCAATGCGACCTGTGAAACACACTTCTAGTTACAAGATAGCTATTTGGTTATGAAACGCACGCTATAAATTTCAATAACTTTTCTTTGAGTCGCAAAATCGTTCTACGAGCGATAATGATGCCACAGAAGTTTTATTCATCATTGTCGACGCTACGTACGCACTTACCAAACTGGGTTTCGAAAACTTTGTGACCAGTGTCTCCTTCCATGTAATAAGTCGACTGTAATACGTAAATTAAAAACGCAATTACAAACATGCTTGAAAAAATTGGGCAACCTTTTTTTTATTATTAACAGACTTTATCCGTCACATTTAAAAATAATTCGTATTCTACCTTTCACGCATCAATTTTCTAACATGATGCTTTAATCCTTATTGCCTGCACTATTCATCATGTTTTGCTGAACTGATGCAGAAAAACAGAATATCATGAATGTCATCTGCATTGTCTACGTTATAATGGCTATTTACGTCGTTAAAGTTACAACGGCTAATTACCTCGTTAAAGTCCCCGACTCTGGGAATATGGTTCTTCCTGGATTTTCCCATTACTTGACCGGAGTTTGAAATTATAACTGAAGAACAACAGAAAAGGAATCATTACAATAACTTCACAGCCTGTTGAACATACCTAAATATCTCTCCAATGTGTAAGAAAATCAAAAACACGTAAAAACTAGACTGTCTAAAAGTTTTAAAAAAACACGTTACTGAAGATCAGAAGTATTTCTGTCTGTAAGAGTCATTGTTTATCAGAATGTTAGTGTATATTCTGTGACAATGCTATGACTATGATGACACATGTAATACTACCAGCTGTGTTCCACATTGTGTCCCCATGCACTTCGTCTCGCTCAAGAATCGGTGAAATGATGACCATGTTGTACTTCTTGGCCCACTAAAATTATGTCAGTAGTATCATGTAAGTAATCTCACATCAGATTGCACACTGTCTAAATTCACTAGGCATGCCACTATAGCAGATGCTTGGTTTCATTCATAAGAAATGTATCTTTACCTCAAACAAAAATGGAAGCCATGTGTATATTCAGAATTAAGGTATATTATATATATATATATATATATAATGAGAAGGATACACAAATATGAATGGCTTACTTCCTGACAAAGCTTGGTTGTTGGTCCTATTAGTGCATCTTCAGCGAACTCACACCAGGGATGTTTCTCTCTTGTGCAAAATGCGAAAGGCATTGCTAAAATTCAGGCCAAGGGTATCCATATAAAATAAGAAACTGTACATATACTGTATAGCAGGGCTCGAATTAACCGACGGCACCGACGGCAATTGACGGCGGTGCCCCTATCAATCGCCGTACTGCCCCTGAAAATCCAACCCGACCGACGGCAGTGACCTGCCTTGTCCTTTTCTGTAATTGCCGTCGGTGCCTCTGGCTAGACTCGTTCACGGCCGCACTGTTTATCACAGAGCGTGTACATTGTCTAGCAGAGCGTGAGGCCGGATACCAGTCTACCCTTCGGTAAAAACAATAACGTGGTATTGCTGCCAACCGCTGCCAGTAGACGATCGATAAATCGTGCACCTGTGTATGCCCGTGGTAGAACACGAATATTTAAATGCTGCACGCCCGGACTCGGCCCGCTAGCGATTTAAAGCGCGGGAAACGAGTTCAAACGACGCTCGCGCAAGAATGGCCAGTGATCTGTACGGTGTGTAGCTTGCTAAGTGCAGTAAATTTAGAGAAATTTTAGTAGAATTCATACGATGACACAAAGTTTTTCATAACAATGGCCTTGGTGCCCTTCTCAAATTGTGAGAGTTGCCTTGATGCCTTTTAAAATTGCCTCGGTGCCCATCCATTTTAGAGAAAATTCAAGGCAATTTCTCACATGCCCCCAAAAAATTGCCTTGCCCCTCTCGTCGCTTAATTCGAGGCCTGCTGTATAGTTTGTATATAAATTATTAAATATATAGTATTGTAGTATTGAATGCACATTCACTAATCAATGCATCAATAATGCCTCATTTTAACCACTCACAGAACCTGTTCACGGTGACACCGCATGAGATATCAAAAATATGGCGGTGTGTGCTTCATTTGCGATTTGTTGCGAAAACTTACGCCATGCTTCTTGTAAGCATAGAACATTAACTCCACACATGGCAGCAATCTCCACCATTTGTCCAATTCTCTTGTGCAATGCAGTTCTCTGCTCGTCTACTGATGCAGATGTTGGCAACACTATCTTGTTCTAAAATGTAATCAGAAACAGAGGCACATACTGAGATTAGATATGTGTCCATAGTTAGGTAGGCTGGTCTCTATTAGACCAGCCTTAATACAAAATCTTATATTTGCAGTAACTTGACCAACCAGGATACATTTTATATCGTAACTTATTATTAATCTATAATTATCATCTTTCGGATTGTACGTAAAAACAATACAATACTATATCAGCCACTAGCAAAATTAATTGATAACAAAACCAGCCAATCTATAGAAAGCAGACTCGGAAGGACTATAGGAAGCAGGCTTGACTACATACTGGAGATGTTACACAACTTGTGACAGAATCTTCAACATGGCGAACGCGGCCAGAACGATGACGGAAGAAGAACTCCTGAATCAGAAACATGATTAATTTTCCATAAAAGAAGTACGTACGGCATGTTGCCGAACTCTATGCTAACACTCGTACCTGAATCGCACCAACTCTGACGACTCTAGCGGCTCGCAGCTCTTCCTGGTGAGCATCAATCCCATAACCCTGAACCTCCAAGTCTCTCTCAGAAGCCAATGACGTAGCATCTTCAGGCAGGCTTAATGACCTACCAGAATAAACCCGTTTGTAAATATTGCTTGTAGGGTCTATGTCCCCCCCGACCTCTGTTTGACCTGGCTCGTTAAGCTATTTCTGACTAACCCTAACCCTAACCTTATATATATTATATCAAGAGCATATAAAGAAGGAGAACGTACAACGGTAAAATGGTGAAACCATGTTGCAGTATTAGTCGAATTAATAAACTTTCCCCGTGTTATTTTGACGATTCTTTGCAGTATTATTGATCAGCTGTCCTACCTTGTTCATATAAAACAAACCGCTTGTCCCTACGATGCTCCTACGCTGAGATAATGAGCGGTGAAAATCTGGTTTTTTCGCCGAAATCCGAATCAGATGACTAGGCACTGCAACCCTCTCTCGTGTGGGCGGAGTGTACGGCCCACACTGTGGCCAGTGTGTTGCTTCCGGTCGCAGCTGTGTAGCGCCACCATCTCATGTCATACTACCAGAGTTTACTATACATCCAGCATGAAGTGGGCGTGAGGTGGGCACAGGTGGGGGTCATCACTATGGCAATCAATAACCGACGTCATTCATTCCATTTGTCAATCATTGACAGAAACACGCGAGGTTTCCCGAAGTTATAACACTTCGAGAGTCGGTCACAGTAACTGACTAATGTCCAGTCGGTGTTCGGCGAAAATACCAGATTTTCACCGCACATAATATCTCAGCGTAGGCCCGTAGGGGCATCGTAGGGACATGCGGTTTGTTTTATATGAACAAGGTAAGACAGCTGATCAATAATACCCTAAAAAAATGGGGAAAGTTTATTAATTTGACTAATACTGCAACATGGTTTCAGCATTTTACCGTTGTACGCTCTCCTTCTTTATATCTCTTGATTATATATATATTATTAGTCGAAATAGTAAACGAGCCAGGTCAAACAGAGGTCAGGAGCACATAGACCTTATGGCCCAAGGATAGAGAACATGGGTCCCAATAAAACCAATGTGCCTAACCGCTAACTCTAATCTAACAATAATCTAACCATACCCTAACCTATTATATTGAATATAATATTATATTTAATTGATCGTAAATGACATTGGTTTATTGGGACCCATGTTCTCTATCCTTGAACCGACCTTATCTCGAATATGAGTGCAACAGTCATCCATTTTGGCATCTGCTCAGTGAATCAACACCAGACAGCCTGCGCCATAGCAGCACAGCACCAGCAGAGACCCATAAATTCTGCCTACACTTTTTATATTCTGATTATATTTAGGGCCCAATAGCCTTCCAGTAGACAAAGACCTGTGAATTCTGTCGTGAAAATGCACAACAAGCACTTTTCACTATTTACGGCCGTGTTACATAGAAATCAAAGAAATACCTTAAGCCGTCGGCTTTATTAACATTCTTATCTACATTACAAACACTTGTCTTGCAGTATTCCTCCTCTTTATCACGTTATTTTATTAAAACGTCAACGACATAAAATCACGCAAATTTGCTACACACAAAACTGCCAATCTTACATTGAACCGCACAACGACATTCTCCACCGGCCATTGAAATGCATCGTGTGACGCTGTCCGGTGCGGTTCAATCAAGATTGGCAGTTTTGTGTGTAGCGAATTTTGCGTGATTTTTATGTCGTGATGTTTTAATCAAATAAACGTGATTAACACGTTCAACGCGAAACACGAGTATACTCGTTCGAACCTGCAAACGAACGCCCGCGAAACGAGTATACGTCGTGGAAAAAAAATAACATGATTTTTTGGAACGTTTACTAATGTTTCCTATAGATGTCAGGGGCTGTACGCTTAGAAATTCAACAACGTGCACTCTATAAACCCAGTAGTAGATGGCATAATTCATACAATACTTTACTGTTGTTTGGAACGTTATTTTGGGAGTTTTTGGGACTGAGGTAATGTTTTTGGTTCACCTCGCAAAGGGCGTTTGACCCGGTTGTTGTGAAGTTGTTTTGATGTCTGAGAGGTTGGGTTGATTTATTGATCATGGGTGATTGAGTTACGGGTGTTGTTTGAGTTCTGAGAGTAAGTTTATATCGATATTATACTAGCCACTAATTATAAATAATTATAGCTAGTTAAACCTGACCAAACATTTTGTGTAATCAGTGACTAAGCGGGGAAACGCGAAAATCTCAGCACAGGGTAGTGCATTGTTAACCATGGCAGCGTTGAACGTAAAGATGAGAATACTGCATAGCAAGTGTTTCGTAATGTAGGGTAAGATGTAATAAAGCCGACAGCTTTAGGTATTTCTTTGATTTTCTATGTAACAGGCCGTAAATAGTGAAAAGTTGTCGTGCATTTTGCACGACAGAATTCACAGGTTTTGTCTATGGAATGGCTATTGCCCATTGGGCCCTAAAATAACATCAGAATATCAAAAATGTTTAGGGCACAATTTATTGTCTACGCAGCAGAGGTGCTGATGCAGTGATGGTAGATCAACTGACACTGTTCAGTGAGCTAAGCTACAGCCCACGGTAGCTCTAGTACTATAGCCCGCTTACATTAACTGCCGCTGGCAGTTTACATTACCAGCTTACATTACCAGCGGCCGTATACACCTGCCGGGCTATAGAGTACTAGAGAGCTAGAAGAGCTATCAGTCCACCGGTGAGGTAGGCTCGGTGCTAGAGGTGGATACAAGGCACCAGATTTCATAGTGTAGTTGGTTTCTTATTCGTTAAAAGTGATACCGTTATTCCCTGCATAATAATATCTGATTAGACTGTCTTTAAGTCCGCGGCAGGCACAGTGTTTAGCCAACACTTCTCAAGGGCATCAGAATCAGCGCGCATGATCACTCAACCAGAGTGAGACGACACTAGCGCATCACAGTGTGCGCAGAGCGAATTTCTGCAATCATATCCGTCAAGGCCTGCACGCATATCCGACACGATGGTATCGCAAGGAATCAGACGCTTCTCAATCTTAAACTGATTGTCGTTTAAACCCGAATCTTCTCAGTTGGCATGTGTTCTATATATTTGAAGCATCTATTTGGATATCGATAATAATTATTTTGGTAATTACACAGTTATATGCGCAACAGCACCAATAATACCGAACACACTACAAGCATTTTTATAATATCAGGAATGAGGGGTTGCTTATTTCCCTCCACTATATCAAGAAGAGCTATGTTAGAACCAAATCCTTTATATACTGTGTAGTTTTTCAATTAGTGTAATATTATCTACATATTACGATTACTACGTGTCAATAACGCTTTGCTTTACACGCTGTAATCGCTCGCTATGTCATATAGTACATCGTCATGTGATCTCGAAACTGCTATAAGTACATATATATCAGTAGAGGAGAAGGGAACGGGGGGGGGGGTCACTTCCACTTCGCCCAGCAAGAGAAACACCCCATATCATTCCCCAGTAAATGAAATATCCCAATTCCCAGTTCCAGGAAATTATGTAGACCATAGTTTCAGGAACTCAGTATTTAGGTTTTCAAAGCACTATACATAAGCCTAAATACTAATACTTTACATACTATTATTTATCTGGGTCTATAAACATAAATCTTTCTGCTAAAAATTAATTAATTAAAAAGAATTTAAAAATATTAGCGTAGAAATTGAAATCCGCGACGCAATTGAATAACAGAGTTTTCCCAGACTCCCAGAACGAATTTAGAGGGTTTGTCCCCGCATCCCGATGGACTTCTGTTCGAATCACGAAAATTTATGTACTGACATTTTCCAGTTCCCAGGTAATGTAAAATGGCCAGATCCCGCGGTCCCGCAAAATACCGTTCTCCCTCTATAATACAGAGCAGGACCCAGGTGGGGCCGCCCCCTCGAGCCACACTCAGCCTAGCTTGGAAGAGAAACCAATTTCTGGTGGCATAATAGCAAAGTGATTCGGGATATCATACCCATGTAAGTAATGTAAGTCTGCCGGGCAGCCGTGTGGGTGTGGTCAGTTTTCAATTGCAGTGTCATACCTAGTTTTCAATTTGAGTGAGGTTGTGGTCAGTCGGTCAAATTTGACAAGCAGCCACAAAGCCACCCAAAATTGAGCTAGATTTACTGGAGAAGACCCCCATGAAACGCTATTGCGAAAATGTTTCGGCATGGTCCCAAGTTATCAGGAATTGAGGACACTGCCTAGAATTTTTGATGTGGGCGCGCTTGCCGCCATACCTAACAACGCGCGATACTCCAAAATTGAGGTCCTAGATTAGCTGGAAATGAAACCTAGTCGGCACCATCTGGAAAAATGTTTGCCATAGCTCCGTTCAGGCTTCGTCG